TATCAATTATCCAAATAAGGCAAGAGCATTCCACAATACTAGGCTAACTAGAAGACCAAACTTACCTGATATCAGATAAATTATGTGTATACCGCTTAGGTATTCCAGAAGCTTCAAGTGTTGAATAAAAGCTTTAGTGTCCATCATCTCCTCCTGAGAAGGAAGCAATATACGACCTGATAAAGCACCAGCTATCCACTTGCTTTGCAATTCACACATGGGAAAGGGGATAACCTGGTGCCATTAACATGCAAAGATTCACTTTCACCAAAAATTAAGTATCGATAAAAAAACAAGGGCATATCATTTCAAGCAGAGACGAACCTTCCATGGTAAACCAACAAAAGAGCCATGGGCCAACCTGGTGGAAAAACATGCTTGTATAGTGGCCCCACACGGTTATCATCCACAGTCACATAGCCATTGGTATCAAGAAATGGGAATGATACTTGTACCTTAACAATGAGATGCTATATCATATTCATCCCTGAAGTATTTTGAACTACTTACTAATTGCATCACAAACATAAATTTTGGAATAAATATTTAGAAAGACCAATTGAAAATATACCCAGTGCGTGTAGAATTACATCAGCAAGACCATATTGCCATTTCGGAAGACCACAGTTCATCTTTAAGGGCAATTTCTATCTGCATTTTTACAAATATTAGCATATTTTAACCATCCATCTCCCAGTACCATGATAAAGAAACTCCTGCCATGAACTACTTGTGATAGCAATTCCAAATATTTTTACCAGTGAATAGCCCATGTTATCGTATCCAGGTTGCTTTTCATATGTTCCATCCGCAACTGACCTGGAAGCAACATGAACTTCTCTGGCACTCCAGCAATTCCCTGCAGATATCAACGGCACTTGCAGAACTCCCTATTAAAACTATGACCTGTCCATGGCAGAGCATGTGAAAATAAGATACATATTAGATGTTAAAGAGCGATAAATAATAACGAGAAGTTATTTAAGAAACATGGAAAGTGGTACACCTCTAACAGAGCAAAAAATGGTTTACAATGCTAACTTATGAGAAAAGAGAAAGAGTTTCAAACAGTAGATCGCATAAAGAACTTGCCTCATAAGTCGATACGTTATAAGGTACAAGATATCAACTTTAGCCCCACTTTAGCTTATGATACATATGCTTGACAAAACTTTTGCTTCATTATAAAGTTGCTGAGGCTTTCACAACTAAATGAGGCAATCTCTGAACCACCAATTTTTTTTTTTTTTTTTAACAAATAAAGACTTTTCCTCATTCCATAGCAAAACAATTAAATTGGAGCTTTCTTTAATCATACACAATCTTCAATAACAAGAATTATTGGATTTCATATCAATATATAATGAGAGCATAAAACCTGCACATACTTGATCTCGATAGTGCTCCGGAGTACGATAATTGTGGCTATGAATTTGCTTCCCTGGCCATGAATCATGCCTGAAGAAAGTACAAGGAAAATAAGAATAAGAACACTGTTAAACATATTCATAAATATTTTCAAAAATACATCTCAAGGCATTTATTGGAGCTTTAGAAAACAAACTCATACTTCATATTCTGGTACTTCACAATTCATCACACTAGCCGATGAATCAATTAGTTTATAAGCTTTACACAAACGCACCTATTCTTAAAGTAATCTAACAAGTATAGATTCCCTCAAAAAACAACTTACCCGAATTTCAGCAATACAGTTTGAGAATAGTGCCCGTTACAAACAACTACGCATCATATATGTCATCGAAACTATCCTTATTATTTATTTTTTAGACCTTACTTTCCATTTATATTATCCATCAATTCACATTCACCACTTCAGTTTCAAACCTCGCCATTTCTTCAATACGAACTCTCTCGCAAACCTTCAAATACTTCAAAACCTCCGTATGACCCGGAAACCTTCTCGGTCTCCAGACCCGTCGTTTCGGCTTACGAATGGGTAATCTTTAAAACCCATTAACTCTCGTGGTAGTTGGTCCGAAGGGAACCGTATATCTAGATGGATGACGGGTCGTTTCGGATCTAAACCAAGAGGGTCGGATTCAACGCGATCAGTGTAATCCACGTACCGCCAATTTGGTCGTTTTTCTCCAGGACTACAACCTTGGGGCCTTCTCGACGAAGCTCACGAGCCGCAACCAAACCGGCGGCTCCGGCGCCTATTACTGCCACGTGGCGGGAATGAATTGGAAACATGGTGGGCAGATTGAGTTGGGTCATGAATGACTAATGATTGAATTAGCTGGTGTGCATATGAGTTTGCAGGCGGCCGTTTGGCGTGTTATAAATGAGTGACCGAGGATGACATGGGTTTTATATTATATTAATAAACAGTGAGAGTGTGCATGTGCGCCACATCAATCATGATTATAAAGTTTTACTTCACTTGCTTGTACTTGGCTTTTCTAAATTGTCTGACAGTTGTTTTTTCATATGGGAATTTGGGTCCGGGCCAATAGGATTGCCTAAAAAACCGAACCAAGACTGGTCTTTGAGAGACCAAGACCGGTCCTATAAGGCTTTGGCCCAAACTTGACCTAGGCCCAATAAGAGGGACTGGTCCTTGGGTTTGCACCTCCCTCAAGGCACGGGCCCAAACCCTCCCCCTCAATTTTTTACACACCTTTGGCAAATATAAAAAACTCAATGTTTTATATAAATTGACCATATATATATCATTCAATATTTTACATAATCTTTTTGTTACACCTCCAACCTAGTAGGGGTTTGGAAAGTAAGATCAAACAATATAACTGTACAATTACAAACAAGTAATCCTCAAACAGATTTTAACCATACAATGAAAGACTTTGTTAAATTTTTTAAACGTTCAAATTAATTCTTAAATGTCAATGACACACCCTAAAACTTCAGGAATTTAGCCACCATAAAGTTATAAACTACAAAGTTGACCCTGGCCATTAGTTTCTACCATTAAATTTGATGAAGATAAGAGCGAAATAGACATTTCAAAAATTAAATAAAAAGTAAAAGTCCAAAATTTTTAAATTAAAAATTAAAAAATATACAAAAATTGCCAAGTAAAACAATATAAAAAATTAAAAAAAGAATTGTGATTTATGATAATTTTTTTTTAAAATATTAAAAGATGGTCAAGGGTTTTTTTAAATATATTTACACATTGTCCGGATCTCTCTTTCTCTCTTTAAATCATTAATAATTTAATATTAAATATATTTATTATAGAAAACTACCTATATATATATATTTTTTTTTCAAGGATTTTTTTTCTATATTTCTTTCATCATTTTAATTTTAATTTATTTTATATTTTTTTAGGGCTATAAAAATTAAAAGATATTACAACTATATATTTTGGGAAGGATTTTTTTAAAATTTTAATTGCATTATTTTAAAGGGAGAACGACATTTTCCCACCCAAAGTTTGGCAAACGACACTTTTCCACCCATTAAGTTTCAAAATGATACTTTCCCACCATTCGTTAGGTTTTGTTATGTTTTTCGTTAATATTTTACTGAAAAGACGAAAATACGCTTAAATATTTTACTTTATAATTTTTTTTTATTTTTTAATTAGCCAAAAAGTCAAATATTGCAAAGTCAAAAAAGAAAAAATAGTTAGTCTCACCTAAAAAGTTAGGAATAATGCTATAAAATTGTTTAAAGTTAAATGATTTTAATATTTATTTATTTATAATGTCATCAATATCTCATCACTTTTATTTAATAATCTATTAAATTTATAATGTTTTTCATTTTTACTAATTAACATAGAAAATCAATATTCCTAATTAATTAAATAAACAAAGAAAAAAATGCATTTTTACATTTGAACTAATAAATAATCGAATAAAGATTTTGACTTAACTAAATTTTAATTTATAATAAACTAATTAAGAAATAAACTATTTAAAGGTATTTTCGTCTTTTCAGTCAAATATTAACAGAAAACACTAAAGAACCTAACAAAGGGTGGGAAAGTGTCATTTTGAAACTTGATGGGTGGGAAAGCGTCGTTTTGTCAAACCTTGGGTGGGAAAATGTCGTTCTCCCTATTTTAAAATTTTTAAGTTTATATATTAAAAAGTAAGGAAATTACAAATATATTTTTCAATGATATTATCGGGTAAAATGGTCAATTTTAAGTATGACTATGGAAAAAGTTTATTGGATGTGGTCTCACTGTTTGAACAGTGGAAACTAACTGTAGGGGCAGGTCAACTTGGATTCATCCAATGCCTACGTGAAGTTAAATCACATATAGGGATATTTTAATCATTTTATTGTTTAAGGGCATTTGCGTCCTTTAGTGATTCAACGAAATTTATGAATCATTTCAGTAATTTCACAAAGTTTAGTCATTTTTTTTTTTTTAAAAAAAATTAAGGGCATTTACCTCCTTTAATGATTCAAAAAGATTCAGGAGATCATTTGTGTAATTTCACAAATTTTAATCATTTTTCTGATTAAGGGCATCTACCTCCCTTAATGATTCAAAGAGATTCAGGAGGTCATTTCTATAATTTCATAAATTTTGAACTAGGACAGATGGAGTTATGATGCTAAAGGCTGGGTTCTTTTTCGGGTTTTTTTTTCCACCCGTACTCGAGTCTTGACTATTAAAAAAATCCTAAGGCTAATGATAATTGATAAGATTAATAACAAAAGCCTATGCCGCCAGCACCAGTGGTCTAGTGGTAGAATAGTACCCTGCCACGGTACAGACCCGGGTTCGATTCCCGGCTGGTGCATTAGTTTGCTTACCCTTTTCATTTCTCGTAGTTCATTTTTGTACAAATTGATATGATACTTTCCTTTTTAAAAAAAAATCGATTCATAGTTTGATCCCTTTAAAACAATAGTAATATTTTATAAATTATTCTTATAAAGTAACCACTATGTTTGAATCAAGATTTAAAAATAAATCTAATATAGTAAAATAGATGAGGTAACCTGTGTGTTGGATTTCATTCCATTAACAACTTCTTACAACCAATTGTATAAATCATAATTCCATTCTGATAATTTCAAACTACAATGCTTGGCTTGAGGTTTGTTAAATAGGCAATTTACATTAATGAATTATAGAAAAATAAATTATAACAAGGTTTTCATTTTTATTTTATTTATTTATTCTTGACAAGAACATACAACACCACCTATTTGAGTGTGGCCACTTTCAGTTTAAATATTACTAGATATTTTCATTGGGGGGTAATTGTTGAAATCTTCCTGGGCTTGCAAGATCAGGTGGTCGTCTTCCCATTCATCACGGTATGTCTCTGGTCTAGTGCGTCTGCTACTGGAAGCAGCAAGATACATTAGAATTCTCCATTCCTCAACCCCTTCACACCCACATTGTCCAGCAAGCCAATTATCATAATCAAACTGCAACAACATTCAAACATACTCTTAACCATTGTCAAAAAATTCTTTTGGCATTAAAATTCACATTAGAACATACACAATAATGCCACTCTGCCAGGCTAATGTGTCCCATGCAATACGAATTCAAGTATATAAAATTATGTAGTTAAATGAATGTTCTTGGAAACCCTATCAAACACTTCTAGAATGGCTAAGAAGGAAGCTCCAAAAATAGGTTTTCCCATGGTGACTTGACCACAAGTTTTGATTAGCATACAGAATCTGCAGGATATTTTTGCTAAGTATCTGATAGTATAAGATTAGGAATAAGTTTGCTCTTGGAGATTAAAGATCCAATTTTTTCCTTCAGTTCTAAAAGAATGGGATGAAATGTACAACGAATGTCCAACATTGGCATTAACATTAATTAGAAAACTTTTGCTCGGTATTTTATCTGAATCTGAAGATTCAGTTTGCACTAAAAACAGCAATAAAAATGGTAGGGACAGCAAAAAGCAGATAAACAGAGATTAAAGAGGGCTTATTGTTTCACATCTGAACCAAATAACCTTTTTTTGCCTTCTCAATAGTTGTTGGGGCAATACTTTAAGATTCATCGGAGCTTGCCCCGACATTAATTCACCAATGTCAAATGTTTCCCTTTATGCACTATCTATGAAGTAAACCAGTCAATGATAAATGAATATCTGCCGATGGAGTTTGGAAACAAATGATCAGATTATCCAAAATAAGGCAAGAGCATTCCACAATACTAGGCTAACTAGAAGACCAAACTTACCTGATAATCAGACAAATTATGTGTATACCGCTTAGGTATTCCAGAAGCTTCAAGTGTTGAATAAAAGGCTTTAGTGTCTTCCATCATCTCCTCCTGAGAAGGAAGCAATATACGACCTGATAAAGCACCAGCTATCCACTTGCTTTGCAATTCACACATGGGAAAGGGGATAACCTGGTGCCATTAACATGCAAAGATTCACTTTCACCAGAAAATTAAGTATCGATAAAAAAACAAGAGCATATCATTTCAAGCAGAGACGAACCTTCCATGGTAAACCAACAAAAGAAAGCCATGGGGCCAAGCCTGGTGGAAAAACATGCTTGTATAGTGGCCCCACACGGTTATCATCCACAGTCACATAGCCATTGGTATCAAGAAATGGGAAGTGATACTTGTACCTTAACAATGAAGAATGCTATATCAATATTCATCCCTGAAGTATGTTGAACTACTTACTAATGCATCATCAAAACATAAATTTTGGAATAAATGATTTAGAAAGACCAAATTGAAAATATACCCAGTGCAGTGTAGAATTACATCAGCAAGGACCATATTGCCATTTCGGAAGACCACAGTTCCATCTTTAAGGGCAATTTCTATCTGCATTATTTTACAAAATATTAGCATATTTTAACCATTCATCTCCCAGTACCATGATAAAGAAAACTCCTGCCATGAACTACTTGTGATAGCAATTCCAAATATTTTTACCATGGAATGAAGCCACATGTTATCGTATCCAGGTTGCTTTTCATATGTTCCATCCGCAACTGACCTGGAAGCAACATGAACTTCTCTGGCAACTCCAGCAATATCCCTGCAGATATCAACGGCACTTGCAGAACTCCCTATTAAAACTATGACCTGTCCATGGCAGAGCATTGTTAAAATAAGATACATATTAGATGTTAAAGAGCGATAAATAATAACGAGAAAGTTATTTTAAGAAACATGGAAAGTGGTACACCTCTAACAGAGAGCAGAAAAATGGTTACAATGCTAACTTATGAGAAAAAGAGAAAGAGTTTCAAACAGTAGATCGCATAAAGAACTTGCCTCATAAGTCGATACGTTATAAGGTACAAGATATCAACTTTAGCCCCACCTTTAGCTTATGATACATATGCTTGACAAAACTTTTGCTTCATTATAAAGCTGTTGAGGCAGTTCACAACATAAATGAGGCAAATCTCTGAACCACCAATTTTTTTTTTTTTTTTTTAACAAATAAAGACTTTTCCTCATTCCATAGCAAAACAAATTAAATTGGAGCTTTCTTTAATCATACACAATCTTCAATAACAAGAAGTATTGGATTTCATATCAATAATATAATGAGAAGCATAAAACCTGACACATACTTGATCTCGAAAGTGTTCCGGAGTACGATAATTGTGGCTATGAATTTGCTTCCCTGGCCATGAATCGATGCCTGAAGAAAGTACAAGGAAAATAAGAATTAAGAACACTGTTAAACATATTCATAAAATATTTTCAAAAATACATCTCAAGGCATTATATTGGAGCTTTAGAAAACAAACTCATACTTCATAATTCTGGTACTTCACAATTCATCACACTAGCCGATAAATCAATTAGTTTATAAGCTTTACACAAAACGCACCTATTCTTAAAGTAATCTAACAAGTATAGATTCCCTTAAAAAAACACTTACCCGGAATTTCAGCAATACGAGGTTGAGAATAGTGCCCGTTACAAACAACTACAGCATCATATATGTCATCGAAACTATCCTTATTATTTATTTTTTTAGACCTTACTTTCCATTTATTATTATCCATCAATTCAACATTCACCACTTCAGTTTCAAACCGCACCATTTCTTCAATACCGAACTCTCTCGCAAACTCCTTCAAATACTTCAAAACCTCCGTATGACCCGGAAACCTTCTCGGGTCTCCAGACCCGTCGTTTCGGCTTACGAATGGGTAATCTTTAAAACCCATTAACTCTCGTGGTAAGTTGGTCCGAAGGGAACCGTATATACTAGAATGGATGACGGGTCGTTTCGGATCTAAACCAAGAGGGTCGGATTCAACGCGATCAGTGTAAATCCACGTACCGCCAATTTGGTCGTTTTTCTCCAGGACTACAACCTTGTGGCCTTCTCGACGAAGCTCACGAGCCGCAACCAAACCGGCGGCTCCGGCGCCTATTACTGCCACGTGGCGGGAATGAATTGGAGACATGGTGGGCAGATTGAATTGGGTCATGATATGACTAATGAATTGAATTAGCTGGTGTGAATAATGAGTTTGCAAGCGGCCGTTTGGCGTGTTATTTTAGAGAATAAATGAGAGACCGAGGATGACATGGGTGTGTTTTATATTATATAAATAAACAGTGAGAGTGTGCATGTGCGCCACATCAATCATGATTATAAAGTTTTACTTCACTTGCTTGTACTTGGCTTTTCTAAATTGTCTGACAGTTGTTTTTTCATATGGGAATTTGGGTCCGGGCCAATAGGATTGCCTAAAAAACCGAACCCAAGACTGGTCTTTTGAGAGACCAAAGACCGGTCCTATAAGGCTTTGGCCCAAACTTGGACCTAGGCCCAATAAGAGGGACTGGTCCTTGGGTTTGCACCTCCCTCAAGGCACGGGCCCAAACCCTCCCCCTCAATTTTTTACACACCTTTGGCAAATATTAAAAAACTCAATGTTTTATATAAAATTGACCATATATATATAATTCGAAGGGGGTTGGGGTTAGGGGAAGTTTTTTTTTTTTTTTCACTTTCCCCCCAAATTTAAACTATAAATAACCCCATTTTCCTCCATTTTCTTCACAACTCACAATTCTCAATCTCTCATTCTCTCTACTTCAATTCTCAAAGTCTCTTCAATTTATATTTATTCATATTATTATTATTATTTATACTATTCAATTTCTTTCATTTTTCAATTTCATCTATTATTCATATTATTCAATTTCTTCAATTTTAGTTATTTATTATTTTATCATAAATTCATTATGGATTCCTGAAATTATGCATTCGAAGGATCATCCTCAAATGAGTATTATGGTCCATCCACTGAAAAAAATGAAAGGGTTTGATCCATTTTCACCCTTTGCAAAGGCAGCAATTCCACAACCAGAAACGACTGGGATTGTGTGTAGCCAAACACAAGCGAGTTGCGATCCCATTGGCACGACAAGACAGTCAAAGAGGGTCGTGTCTAGGATATGGCAATACTTCACCAAATCAAAACGGGCAAAGCCAAATTGGGAGGGGGAAGAAACGTGCGGGGTATTTAATTTTTGTGCAACCGTTATCGACTCTGAGTACGAGACTTCGACGATGTGGTGACACCTGGAGAAGAAGCACCCCTAATATATGCAGCTCAGACCGTCTGGTTCAACTTCAACTGCATTCGGAAGCAAATTCACACTCAACTTAATTTTAATCCACAATCCTCAACTCTCTCAGCTTGGCAATACAATGCACTCAAAGCACGAGAGACAATAACAAGATACATAGTTACTACATACTCTCCTGTTTCTTTATCTGAAAATCTTTATTTTGTTGAAATGATTAAAGATGTTTTTTGTCTAGCATATAGTCCTGTTAGTAGAGGTATAAGTAGAAGGGACATACTAAAACTTTATAATAAAATAAGAGATCAACTTAAAATAGAATTTGAAAATTTTAGGAATATATCTATTGCATTTACTTCAGACATATGGGTTGCTAGATCAAAAACATATTTTTTGAGTGTCACAATACATTACCTAGATCATAGATGGCGTTTACAACAAAAATTGATAGGTTTTAAACTATTATATGCTAAACATAGTGCCGAGACAATTTATTTTATAATTATTAAAGTTTTACAAGATTATTTATTAAGTGAGAGAGTTGTGGTGCTAACGTTTGATAATGCAGCTATCAATACCACGTCAATTTCTTTATTTGAAAAGAGATTGGATTCGCATGGTGACGGAATTTTTTTTACCAGAGATGTGCTTCCCACATTATCAATTTGATTGTTAAAGCAGGTTTAGAAGCTATACATTCGAGGATTGAGAAGGTGAGTGCAGCTATCAGATTCATCGTTGGTAGCAATACAAGATGGACTGAGTACGTAAAATATTGTCGCCAAGAGGATCCGCCGATTCGACCAAAGAAGTTATGTATGGACTTGCCTGTCCGTTGGAACTCCACGTACTTGATGTTGCAAAAAGCTATGCCAACCGCAAAACAAATTACAGAGTTCATCAACCGGAAGAACAATTCCGACGAAGTCGTTAATGATGATGATTGGATGGTTTGCAATGTTTTTAATTCATTTCTTAAAGTTTTTTACGATTCCACTAATATATTAAGTGGTATTTATTATCCTACTACTAATGTAACTTTAGATATTTTACTTCAAATTTCTAAAACTTTTGCTAAACATATATATGATGAAAATTTAAGCGACATTGTTTTAAAAATGGAAACAAAATATCGGAAATATGGTTATATATTCCATTCTTATATAGATTAGGTCTTATTGTAGATCTTAGGTTTAAATTACACGCATTTAAATGTATGGTTACTGAGATAGACCATAATTTAGATTATGACTATAGCTCTTATTTGATAGACTTTAACAGAAAATTGGAAAGCTTTTTTTTTTTTTTTTTTTTTTTTTTGTATCAGACTAGGTACTATAGAATGTCCAGTGCCAGTAGAGACAACTAGGACCCCGATGAAGACATTTATCAACAAGGATCGAGCATGTGGACGTATATGGAACACACAATAGCGGTGTTGGTGGAAGTAGCAGCTCCAGCTCGTACAAACATTGACCAAATGAGTTACATCGGTACCTACAAATGGACATGTCCTACGTGATAAAGAAGGAGAAACGTGAGATGGATCTTGCAAGTTGATTCCCTAAGGTAGCCCAAATAGCACGTGACATTTTATCTTTGCCAGTTTCAATAATTACATCCGAGTCAACATTTTCAATTAGTGGCCGCATTGTTGAAGATAGAAGATGCTCTTTAACCAATGAGGTGGTTGAAGTCATAACATGTTTACGGGATTAGACTTATGCAGACAGAAGACTATAGTAGCACCTTGAAGATCTCAAACTACTTGACCTCTTCAAAAACACAGATTTGGATGGTGTAAATATTGACGATGTAAATTAATTTAATAAAAACAAATTTATTTAATTATTTATTTGTGAAGTATGATTGTGTGAATATTATATTTATGTTAAAATTAAATTATCTCTTTAAAGTTTAAGTTAAAAACACCCTAAATTTATAACCAATTAACCATTCATTTATATTTATTTAATAATTAATTAAAAAATTTACAAATCACTCCCTAAAAAATTACATAAACCCCCTACATAATTTTCGATTTAGCCCCAGATATATAAAAAATTAGGGGGGTATTGATAATTTTTCAAGCCCATAGGACCGATCCTATGGGCCTAGGACTGGTCCTAGGGACCGGTTCGAGCCCTGATATTTCTCATGGGCCTAGGACCCCATGAGAAATGGTCCTTGAAGGACCGGTCCCATTTTGGGACCAGTCCTTCAAGGCCTAGTCCCGGGCCCAGCTGCTTAGCTCTACTTATATACAATAAGTTTTAAGGTTTGCCCAAATATTAACGTACTTTTTTTTTAATCATCTTGGTGATGTAGTCAGCTTGTATGCACCTTAACTAATCTCTCGAGGTCCTGAAATTAACAGTCGGATAGAGTTTAAGTGGCCACCCTTATTAGTGCTTGGGAGGATTCAAACTCAAGAGATTATGAAACCTCCTTTTGCTCTTTTACTATCAGACCACCTAGTGACGGTTAATATTAACCCACTTTACTATTCCTTACGAATGTCTGGTGCCTTACATTATATAATAAGGATGGTTATAAATATAACATTCTATTATATTATATAGTATTTTATAACAAAATATAGTAGAATGTTTGGTATTTTATTGTATTGTATTAATTTGTTTTTAGTTTAATTTAAACCTATATCAATCATTAGGAAAGTTACAGAAAGAAAAAATAATGAAAAATAATTAATCATCAACCCTAAAATATTAAAAAAAATTAAAAATTAATTTTTTTTCTTATATTATCTAGATGCCGAACTTGGATATTAATTGGTAATAATCTTAAATATCAATGTGATATTAATTAAAAAATCCAATAAATATATTCCCAAAAGAAGCAAAATCATTATTGAAATAAGAATCAAGTTAAAAATAATACTCACCAAGGAAAAGTATTCTTTTGAAACCTAACTTTTTCCACTTCACTGTATTAAGGAGGCTAAATGGTATGAAATGATTATGTAATTCACTCTTGGAAAAGTTTTAAATTAAAACATTCTAATTGAATACTAACCACAATCAAATTAGCATCCCATATTGTTTCTAACCCTGTTTAGCAGCAGGATTAATCTATAGTAGAGAAGTAGAGATGTTGCGAATTGAAAGAGCAAAGCATCCTTCCACCAAGTAAAGCAAGAAGTCAACATGGTTCAAGAGGAAGATAGTAACTTTAGTGGTGCGAATTTTAGGTATCAACATGTTAGTTTAAATCAATAATTATCTAAATAGTTTAAAGTAATTGATCAACTTATTAAATTGTCAAAATAAATGAATTAATATAATACATCCTTTAACCCACCTTAAGGATTAATTAATATAACTAGGGGTGTATATGAATCAACTCGAGCCGAAAACTGCCAGGCTCAAGCTCAATTTGTCAAAAATTTCTCAGGCTTGAGCTTTGGAAACTCGAGCTCGAGCTTGAGCTCGATAGGAAATGCTGAGCTCAAGCTCGACTCATTTATAAGTCGAGCCCTGCTCGAGCTCGAGCTCAGGCTCAAATTCGAGCTCGATATAGAGCTTGATTTTGAGCTGCATAACTCATTCAAATCACTTTGAATTTTCATCTTGTCAGGTTTATTTTGTGAATTTGATATGTGTTGCAGAACTCATTCTAACTATAATTTTAGTGTACTAATTTAAAAACAAACTATAAAAGAGCTAATTACACAAAAATATCTCATTCTTCTTCCAACTCAAATACAAACAATAAAATAAGCTAATTCCACTCAGTGCTCTTTAAGCCATACCTCCCTCCATTATTGCAAAAAAATGTAGAACCATCTTTGGTGTAAGATAAACACTTGCAAAAAAAATTTAAGAAACCCTCTTTGGATCACGAGCTGCAGCAAGATAGTCCTACATGATAGACACGATGTACAACATTATCATAGATCATCATATCACTTTAGAAAACAACTTGAAAGTTTTAAATTTACCAAATGAATTAAAACTTAAGCGGAAATGGTTGCTATGTTGATTTTAAG